GCAAAAGATTCAAGAGAAAGGCACACTCAACATCTTGACTTTGCCTACACCAATGATTGACTCTCTTTTCAAGTGCCAGTGGCATCCCAATGTCCTCACCAACCCAACCAGGCCAACTGGGCCAGCCATGGGAGGACATATGTACTATGCTGTGGGCGAGTTGGACAATTGATTTGGGGCATGGCAGGCACAGGCAAGTCAATCTTTATCATGCTTTGTGCCAACAGGTACAAGTTCTCACCAATTGTCAACATGAGCACACCCAGCAAGGTGGTCTTTGGTGTGTCAGACCTCATTGGTTCGTTGTCATGTGTACTGAAGTCAAGGAGAATTTCAACACCCAAGAAGTTTGGATGACCTGATGTCAGCAAGTGGAAGAGCCACCTCATGCTCAGCAGCAATGAACTTGCCTGATGGAGAGACAAGCAGGGCAACATGGCCTGTCAATTCAGGCTGTCAGCAATGTCAACCCTGATTTGCAGAAGGACATCATGAACAGTCCTGAATATGCCAACCTCATATTGAAGAACAACATCCTCTACTGCAAGTTGGCCTTGCATGCCAACCTCCATGTCATGTGCCTTCTCCCATGCTACTTTCAGAGTGCCAATGAGTGATTCTGCATGCCACAACACAACAAGGACAACACACTGGCCAAGCACAAGTATGTCAAGATACAGGATGTCAGCATGGCATTCACAAACTTTTGCAACACCAACAGCATGCAAGCAATGCTGTTGGTGCCTGACAACTATCTCCCACCAATGAAGACCCTCAGCTACCAGGTGCACAAGGCACAACTTGGATGGGGAGGCAACCAGGAGGACACTCAGTGGTTGCTACACTTTTGCATCAAGGACATGCAGCCAAATCATCATTGAAACACTATATGCCTTCAGCATTGATTGATGAATCTGCACAAATGGCAAATGGGCGTGTGAGTGATCAAGATATTCAAAAATTTTGGCAGTGATCTCTGTGGTGGGGATAGAAGAAAAAATTTGTGTCTGTTTTGTCTGGTGCCAAATTGGCTGTTGATAAAAAATCGTCTGCAACACAGTGACACCAGCTGAACCAAGAGAAAGAGTGGGTGAGTGAGTGAGACACACATGAAAGGATGATGACCACCCACATTGAGAACTGGACTGCATCAGTGGTGTTGAAAAATTTGGGCCAAGACATTAAGGTGTGCCATATGAAGACACAGCCAGGAGGACAATATGCCACACCCAATCATACATGTGGAAGATTGCTGAATTGACCAACAGGATGGTGGATGATGTTGTCCATGGCAATGCTGATTGTGAGCGCATGCACCTGATGCTGGACATGGTGATCATGCTTTGGCTCAAAAACATAGTGCCAACATGTGAGCAACTGGAATTGATGCATGTCATGGTTCAACCCACCAAGTATGTTGTTGTGCTGGTGCTTCAAGTTGTGAGGTGGATGTGCGATCTGTTGAGGTGCAAGATTGGAGACCCCATGCTTGTATTTCCCACTGAGGCCATTGAGCAAAAGGTGGAAATGTGGCCCATGTCAGTCATGGATGAGGCGATCCAAAATTCATATGAGGACATCAAGATCAATGGCGTGTACTTTATCAAGAGCCAATGTCACGCCATTATTGACTACCTACCTCTTGATGAAATCTGGGTGCATCCATTGCAGCAGACTTTATCCCACTGTCCATTGACAACGAGGTGGGACAGGTCATTAGCAAGTTGGAGAACCCTCTTTGTGCAAGAGGTGGATGAAGTGGGCGATCCACGTTTTGACTGCGCTGCAGAATTACTCCATGGTGCCCATGGTCAGAGATCGTGTGGCGGCCCTCAACGGG